AAAAATATTGATTGCTGTAATTTTTAGGGTATAGTAAAAACATGATGTCAGGTGAGAAGTGCATCAGATCATAACATTATATTTACTTGGTTTACATACAAGAAGTTTATTATTTTAAAAATTTAATGAGTAACTGTAGATGGCAATTGATTGCAACCCCCGTCGCATGTGAAAAGCATTAGTGGATATGTAAAAGTCGATGAGTCTCAGCACTTTTTATAATTTTTTAAAACAATAAATAATTTTATTCCATAAGTGATTTCCACTCTATATATAGAGGAATGATACCTCGCACAATTTTTTGGAAAATATTTGTTCTATTTCTTGACAATTATGTTGTATACTGAACATTTCATTATCCTCGAATTCATAATATTCATAATATATATTATACAACTACTTACACAGACGTATACTAAAAATTCCATGGACGGCTATGCTGACAAATGTGGCAGTCCTTGAAAGAGCAAATGCTGCTCGCGAGCTGCTTGATAACATCAAATGTAGAAAGATGGCCTATTTTGGACACGTAGTAAGGGGAGACCGATATAATATTCTTCAACTTATTATGATGGGTAAAATCGAAGGACGCAGAGGAATTGGTAGAAAGCAGGCCTCTTGGTTGAAGAATATCAGGGAGTGGACAGGAATAAAGAAAGCTGAGCAACTATTTAAAATAGCTCGAGACAGAGACAGTTTCGCCATGTTAATCGCCAACGTCAAGGGGACTTGATAGGGCACGTTAAGAAGAAGAATACAACTACTTGGTAACACAATCAAGTCTGCCAAATTTCTAGGCTATACTACAATCTCGAAGGATTTAATCATTTTTAAGCGTTTTCGGCCCACTGTGAAACATCGGTGTTATAAATAATTGTATATTATGTATGGTATTGTTTGACGTGTGCACAACTAGTTTGATGAGTTGTGTGGCAGAGAAAGTCCATTGAAACTGAAAGGTAATTCTATAACAATGGGCTTAGCAGCGCTGATTTGATTACATATACATCAACATAAGTAGTTACACTTATAATAAAACTATGGCCAAACTATGAATTCTAGTAAATTATCGTCCATTCAGCCTGGTTCCTATTGTCAGCAAGGTCATGGAATCGATTATTTCGGAAGCTATGTCCGAGTTCCTTCTTCAAGAAAATGTCATCCCTCACCAACAGCATGGATTTATCAAAGGTCGTTAAACGATCACAAACTTACTTCATTGTGTAAATGATTGGTCATTATCTTTAAATAATCGGAATCCTGTCGATGTAGTTTACTTAGACTTCTCCAAAGCTTTCGATCGTGTTCCAAAACGTCGATTACTAGCTAAATTGGATCATTATGGTATCCGCGGAAAATTAAACATTTGGATACAAGATTTTCTATCCGACTTCAGGGTTCGTGTTGGGGAAGACCACTCATTAGATAAGCCAGTCAAGAGTGGAGTTCCACAAGGATCAGTACTTGGACCGCTAATTTTTTGTGTCTACACTAGTGATCTTCCGCTCATTGTATCCAGTAAGGTTTCCATTTACGCTGATGACACTAAGTTATATGTGAATCCAACTATTAACCAACATATTCTTCAACAAGATCTTGACGCAATATTCAAATGGTCCTCAGAATGGTTACTTGCGCTTAACATTGAAAAATGCGTTATTTTACATATCGTCAAAAATAACCCATCACTGCCGTACTTTATAATGGACATCCTTTAAACTCTGTAACCTCACACAACGATCTCGGAGTGATAATTAATAGTGACTTAAATTGGTCTGATCACATAGTGTCGGTGTGCAAACGTGCTAACTCGAAACTGTTTTTGATCCGTAAGTGTTTTGCACGCATATCTCTAACCTCTGTTAGTAAACTTTACTCAATATACGTTAGACCTATTCTTGAGTTTGCCGGACCAGTGTGAAATCCAGATCTTAGTCGCGATAAAATCCTACTTGAAAACGTTCAGCGTAAAGCCACAAGACTGGCATTCGGCCGTGTAAGACCTAACTATGAAGATAGACTATTCATGGCTCATCTTACGACATTCGAGCAGCGACGTCTTCGAGGTGACCTAATTATGTCCTTCCGTATTTTAAAACATAATTTTGGGAACCTAAACACCGTATTCACTTTGAATGAAGACGATAGATTAAGAGGCCATCGATACAAATCAAAGAGGGAACAAACTACTGTTAGGTCCAGGGCGAACTTCTTGCCAAACAGAATCTTTAATATCTGGAACAATTTGGATCAAGACGCCATATCGGCAGCTAGTGTTAACATCTTTAAAAATAAACTTGATAGCACTTTATTTTTTTTTATAGGATAGGATATTTTTTCTCGGACAGCATTATTTATTTATTTATTGTGTCACAATTCAATTTTCATTAATTGTTTAACTACTTAACTTTATAATTAATATTAGTTTTATAAGGATCTATTTTATTTTTGTTTATTTTTGCTTTTTGGGCATAATAGGAGCTCGCCCCTCTGTCCTTATTTGTTATATAAGAATAATAATAATAATAATAAAATTTAGTCTTTGTTGTAGCTTTTGTAATATTTATTTTGATTTTAGGGCTATCCCATAGAATTTCCTACGTATTTAAATTATTGTCGACAATTGAGGTTCGAGGAGAGGCCGGATTATAGTTATTTACGACAACTCTTTAGAACATTATTTCACAGACAAGGATTTACGTATGACTACGTATTCGACTGGAATATGCTCAAATTCGGTAAGTCATTATTTTGATGAATCTGTTATATTTAATCACATAAAGCCAGCACGAATAATCCAATATCAACCGTTCAAAATGATCCTATCAAGTGCGTACATATAGTTAAAATAAAGCTAGAGAGATTGATGATAATATACAGTAACTCATTCACTCTCAGTAGGAATAGAAAATGCGTAAAGAAATAAAAACCTCTTCACAGGCACCTCCAAATACGATTACGTTTACAAAAATAAAGAATTACATAAAATGAAATTACTAAAGAAACTTTGTCAGTGTTTTGGCAAAAATAAAGTTGGCACTTTAGAGAAAAATGTGTTTAAATGAAATTAATTTATTTTATTTCCTGACTTGATTTACGTTTTTAAAACGTAAATTCAAATCTTATACAGAATGGAATTTGAAATACGTGAATTAAAACTTCAAAGTATTCCCTAGTTAAGTATTTTCTTTTCATACTCGATCTATTCTATTCTAAAATTGTATTTTTTTTTTCTTCTATAACTAGTTAGCTTTGAAAATTTTCATATATTCTTCCCTCTGTCAAGAAAGTGTAAGTTTTAAGCGTTGACTAAGCGTTACTTTATATCCTTGGCATGATAGGGGGCCTTGGCATTTCGTTCCAACTAGTGGGAATAAAATGGATACTGGGAGAAAAAGAGCATGTTTCAGAAGATAACTCAAAAATATGACTCTTCTAAACCTGCAAATAAAAATATAAAGAGAACGAGCAGAGATGCGATCCCAGTGGCAGTCTCTGTATATGCTCCAAATAGTCAATAATTTCATACCAGGATATACACTATAAATAAAAGATCGATCACTTGTTTTCGAAGAGCTTATTTATAGCAGATCTGCTGTAGTCTCGAGAACTTGTTAGTTATGTAGAATTATATATTAGTTTAAATTAATATTAAAACTATGGGAACAGTGTTATCGAAGTTGTTCTGGAATTTATGTGTGGTTTGCCCACATTTGACGCAAATCTGTTATACAAATACAATCCTGTTTTTTTTACTCGTCATTTGATTTATACAGTATTGTCCACTCAAAAGAGTCCAACCGGATGTTTGGCAATATTCATTGGATTTTGTAAAAATGCTGAAACAGGTTGAGTTTTTTCCCAATGGGTCATCTTTTAACGATATAGACATCTGTCATTTGTCACCCCTCGCCCTTCCAGTACCACAAACTCTTAATTTTAAATAAAGGTGAAGCGGGTCAACTGTGGTTTGGGGTAACTGTGGCACCCATTAATGTTTTTTTAATTAACAAGATCTTATAAAGTTTACAGTACATACTTGTTTAATCTCTCTGGTAGTAACTAGTGAGAAATTCTTTAGACATCAGCTACCAAAACAAAAGTTCAGTTAGCAACTAAAAGTCTGGCCGTCATGTTTTGATCTAAGTAAATTGCGTAGTAGTTGAGTTAAATTTGAAAAACTTGGTTCAGTACAGAAGCAATGCTAGTTTTCAATAAATGCTTCTGAAAGTAAACTTCAGGCGCCACCTAGCGCTGAGTAACCGGAGTATAAGAAGAATAGTTTAGTAATTAAGAAGGAGTCCACCGTTACCCAGACATGACACATGATCGGTGCAACTATTGACGGCATTACCGGGGGAACTGTAGTTCCAAAATTTCTAGGTTAGTTTGTTTATAACTTATTCTTTGGGTGCAAAAATGCCAAGAAAGTATATTAAAAAGACTTAGTCGTGGTGCCGGAAGTAGGTATTCAATAGAAGTATTAGAACTGGCTATAAGAGATGTGAAATTGGAAAAATCTTCACTAAAGAAGGCTGCAATGGAGCATGGCGTACCAAAATCGACACTCGGATTAAAAATGAATGGGTGGAAAGGTAGACCAGCGGCAGAACATGCACAAGGTAATAACAAAATTAGGTACCTACTAGATTTTACTTTTTAAAACAATGAAAATCTATTACAGATGTGACTGGAGGTAGAACTGCCCTTTCTAAAGAAGATGAAGACATTTTGGCTTCTCGGATAAAAACTATGAGTAAGTGGGGGTTTGGACTATGTATCTCGCAAACAAATACTCAACACTATACTGGTATATGTTCAGCAAAATCATCTGCAAAACGACCTTTAGAGAGGGGAAGCCTGGTGAAGATTGGTTTCTGAATTTTTCAAAACGCAACCGACTTTCTATTAAGAAATCTCAGATAATTGAAGCATCACGTGTAAGATAACAAAGTGACCCATTTGTTATTTACGATTTCTTTGATCAACTGGAAACTATTATGAATAATTTACAACTTCAACAATATCCTGCTAGGATATGGAACGCAGATGAAACGGCTTTTAATTATGGCCCCAGCCGTAATAATGTTTTAACTGGAATCGGAGAAATAGCCCAAAAGCAAACTGCAGGCGCAGGACGGAAAACAACAACAGTTTTGGCATGTGCTATGCCAACAGATCCATATTGCCACCTGTGATTCTCCACAAGGGCAAAAGGTTATGTGACAATATGTTTAGTACATATGAGTATACAGAGACATCTTACTATGTAACCTAAAATGGTTGGATAAATGAACAAGTATTTTTTGTATGGTTCAAAAACTTTTTTTTATTGCGTTGAAAGGCCTGCTCTTTTGATTTACGTTGGTCATTTATCGCACATTTCACCCGAACTGATTGCGTTATCCATGGCAGAATATGTGACTATTCTTAAATTACCGCCACATACTTCTGCAATATTGCAGCTTTTAGATGTGTCTGTCCTTTAAGGGTCTCAAGTCTTCATGGGATGCTTTGTTAACAGATTTGCAGTACAAATATTTAAGAAAACAGCTAACAAAATGCGAATTTTCCAACCTTCTGGGAAAAGCTTGGCGTAGTATTCGAGAACCTGTTGTGGTGAATGACTTTAGAAAAACAGGTATTTTTCCTCTAAATCGAGATTCCATTAAAAAAAAGTTTGATCCCGAAAAGTTAAAACGATTATGAAGAGAAAAACATTCCTGACACTATCACTGATGAGCAAAGTTCTATGGGTAAGCAAACTACGATCCCATGTACAACTACAACCTCTTGCAGCTCTACTACAGAAAGCCAGAATTGCATTGCATCAACTTCCATTGCATCCTGGGAGAACATTCTACTAGCAACAGTGAAACCTTCTCCGAAGCTACATCAAAGGAAGGGGAAAAGAATAGATGTTGCTGAAGTGATCAAAAACTAAGACAAAAGCTTCGAAGAATACATTCAAGAAACATCAAAATGAAATAGTGACGATGAAAATTCCGAAGAAGTCGTTTATGCAGAGAGTAATGACTCATATGAAGCTCCAAATGATAATATGGAAGAAGGTGCCGAACCTCAAGTTCAAGAACCCACCGACGATAATATAATACCAGGAAAATACATCGTGGTACGAATAAACAAACGAGCAGTTACTCATTCGATTGGACTAATATGTCAAATTAATGCACTGAAAAGAGTCGTGATAATGAAATGTTTGAAACGATGTGTGGGAAATGCCTTCAAATTTCGTGAGGAAATCGAACCTCTCTTGTTCACGTATGATAAGATATTAGGAATACTGAACGACCCATAATCAGAAGATGAAAACGTCGTTACGTTTTGTGAGGATTTAAGGAGATTAAAAAATATTGCCTAGCTCTTTGTTGTTTCATGGCTTTTAATAAAAATTTTCGTTTCTGCATTTTTAATGTTGCTTTTATTTTAAACCACAGTTTCACCTTTCATTATAATAACTACAAAGTGAAGTTTACCAAGCAGACCACAGTCTTCCCGTCAGGGTCTACAGTTACCCAAAATTAACGGGTAACTGTGGACCCTTACATGTGAAAGAAGAATGTCAATACTCTTCTCCCTCAATTCATTTTTCATCTTCTACTGAAGAGAATATATTAATAGATTACTAATACATATCTACAAACAAAAAGAAAGTGGTTTGAACCCCACTAACTTCATAAGTTACTTTCAAAATCAAACTTTGTATATTCCGACCACAGATACCCCACTTAATTTTATATATGGCACGTCATTAGACAGGTACATGATTTTTATTTTCATGTTAACTCTGTTTTTGTGAAAATTATCAATTTATTTAAAAGTGTTACATCTCTTAAAAACCAAACTTAACGCTTATGTTTTGATAGTTAATAACGTCTATTCTATCGCAGAACTCGTTGAAATTATTTTCATATTGTTTATAGCAGATACTTAGGTCCGTCGACAAGGAAAAATCTGCAGTATTGTTGGAGATTGTTCGAGAAATACCTGGTCTAATTAAACATAGATAAAAGTAAAATGTCAACTGGCATTTTTTGTTAGAACACGTAATTATTGAACAGTCCGTGTAGAAAATGATCCATTTTCGTTCTTTTAAAATGCATTTCTGAAATTTACCTTTTCGATGTTTGTAGGTGGTTCGAGAGGAAGTCATTGCGAAGAGAACGGCGGCGGTGGCAGATCGAGCGCGAGGTACGGAAGTCATCCCCCAGCCGTCCCGACAGATTCTTCACCTGTTGCCCCACAATCGAGGACGCGGAGGCCGCACGACTCCCGCATGGAGATGGTGTCAACGGGCGGTAACGGTCCTGCTCAGAACACTCTCGATGAAGTTATACGTGGTAAGTAATTGGGATACCTTGTTTTGTAGTTATATTGCATTTTGGTATCAATTGGTGCCACCCCTAGACTTTCTCCAATATATTTATTCTTTATTTTATCCTTTTTCTCACTTCACTCATCCATCTTAACGTTGTTATTTCCTCCATTCGTTGATTCTTTTGTTTTTGACTTCCCAAGATTCAGTTCCGTATATTATATCTTGTCTCATGGCAGTTTTATAGAATTTTCCTTTCAATTTTATAGTAATTTTTTCTGTCACGCAACACCGTATCTTCCATTCCATCCATCTCGCCCTAACTTTATTGCATGCATGTCTATCTATTTCCGCATTATTATTTTTTTCTTAAAAAGTTTGTTTTCGTTTTTGTGCTTTTTGAATCCTTGTAACGCACCGTAACTCTTTACAAGACCCCACCTCCCCCCTAATTACGTTACCTAATACTTGAGTGGCCCACAAAAAACATTCAAACTTCCCGGAAGCTGCATGTGATTGTTGTTTTCCGGGTTTGACTTCGCGTTGAATAATTCTGGTTTTAAGGAAAACCATATTTTTGACGACGTTTTAGCAAGGTCACACATCATTTTCAGGTCACATTAGTTCTGCTTCCTCCTGGTGTTCGAGAAGAACTGATTTCTAGGCCGCTGTATGCTGTAATTTGTATATTTTTCGGTGTTTTAATATATACGGGCTAAAACAAAAATCACACAACTTAAATAACTGCAGCGCTTCTTGTGATCGGTCTTGTGTGTCGGGGTCTTATTCGCTAAATTAATTTCTACATTTTTATTTTGTAGAATTGGTTTTCATGCATTTGGAAATCTTTGGACACCATATCTTGTATTTTTTGCTTTACGGATTTCTTCTTTTTTTGTAAAACTACAAAATTCATAGCTAAGACTGGACAATGTCTGTAGGGTCAGCTAGTAAGTTATGTTTATGCGTTGACTTCAACTTAGACATTAAATAACTTAAAATTTACAAAGAAAACAATACTAGTAGTAAGAAAGAACTTCACTGAAATCTTGATTTACCCACAAAATGAGTAAATAAAAAATAATTTCTTTAATTTCATAAAATTTGACTCCGTTCTTTTAAATTTATATGTAGTTCCGGGCATTTTCTTTTTCAGGTCCCTATTTTCCTTCAATCTTTCCATATATATGGGAGACGCAGAAAGTGTATTTCTCTCGTCCGTAAATATATCGTCGATATCTTAGTTTACGTATGTTTTATTCTTAGAATTTCTCTATCGGTAGCCATTGGTAGGTTGTAATCCTGCAGGCAACATATTGAAACACATACGAGCTTAGATGTCGAGGTTTCTTCTTCTTTTATTGAGTCACCTCAGTCTGTTGACTACTCAGATTATTATATATTTAAATAATTATTTGTCTTTATCTTTCAGAGTCTCCATGGATGTATGAAAGACGGGTGTCGATGCGTTTGAGAGCGGGTGGTCAAGGTGCCCCCAATGCTTCGACTTCTGACTTAAGCACTACAAAACAAGCGAAGTGAGTTACATATCTTTCCCTGTCAATGTACATACATGTATTGTATAATCATTTTTATATATATGTTTTATAATAACGATATATGAATCATATAAAAGACATCTTTAATTTATGTACAAATCTTTTCGTTTTTATTAATTTTTCACATGCTAATTTACAAAACTTGCGTCTTCTATTATCGTTTACGTTCTTTTTATCTCCTTTTGGGGGGAAAATAAGGATAAAATTTAATCAACTTAAAAACTAAGAAGGTATTTTGCTAAGGTCAAAAGAGCGCATCGTTCAGACAAAGCAATAGATAGTCGTACGATTTTCAGTCAATCCTGAACCCTGAGCAATTATAGGAAATTAAAACAAACGTTTAGTATACAAGCTAATGGATTTACAAATCACACGATTCTTAAAGAAGAATTTGATATTTCTAAGATAATAATACCACCCTCAAAATGTGTTTTAGCCAGTAGGGGCTATTTTCCTACAAGATCTAGCTCAGATATGCCAACTTCGAAATAACAACCAATAACAAAATTTTTGTTTGTACACATTTCTAAATCATTTTCGTCAAATATTAGGTAATTAAAAATGTGCGTTTTATATGTTTCATAAAAAGCATAATATTTAATATATTTCTTAACAAAAATAACAAGAAAAACGATGAAATTATAATAAATGTTAAAAATGGTATCCATTTTTATCTGATACATTTCTGTTTATTCTCATTCATTTTACCTTCACCATATCTTTTATATAGCCTCAGAAAAATTTCTGTTTAAAAAAGTATTATAACTCTGGAGAACGTGGAGGCTACCTTTGTCCTCTTCCCTTTCCAATCCATCTTCCAGGAAAAGTATCATTTGAATACAAATTCACTAAAAAAATGTGATGTAATATCCATCATGTATGAACCTTCATGTAATATCAATATTCTCTGACGTATGTTCAACAGTATTGGTTCCTACATTTTAGACAATTCGTTGTACAGAAAATGATCCATTTACGTTATCCTCGAAAAAGTAGGCTCTGATGACATATTTCCAAGAACTCCTGCCAAAGCATTCAACGACCATCTTGTTTGACGGTGGGTGAGAATGTGGTGTGGATTAGAAGTTGAGTAATAATGGAAATTATGCCTGTTTGCAGTACCATTCTTGTGTAAATTAGCTTCATCTCCAAATAAAATGTATTCGAAGAAATATTCATCATTCTGAATTTTTTCCTGCGCCCACTGACAAAATTCTACTCTTTTATTATACTTAGTCCTGCTCATTAAGCTCTTGACGCAATTGTGCATGATATGGCTGCATCTTGCTCTTAAAATAAAAAAAATTCTGAACAACTTTTTTTTTATTTTGGAAAAATATATGTTGTTTATGAACAACATGATGTAAATAAGGATATACATACTTAGAACAATATTTAGGAAAGATGAAAATTTTTAAAACAGTTCTTCGTTTTAGTGAAGCAAAGTGTTACACTACACTTTTCATACAACACAAGTGTAAAGCCATTGCAGTGTGGAAACTTGTACCTTATTTGTTTTTCGAAACATATAGGAAAATGGTGAATTCCATCCATTCGAACATCCTATACTGGCATAACCTGTGCTGGGTCTTTTCTCTTCTTTATTTGTAGCGCCTCCTCAGTTTCACTTGCTGAATGCCTTCGCCTTTTTGCAATGGTGAATCGCTCTCCTGTCCTGCATAATGCTTCTGCCAATTGTGTTCTAAACTGTGCGTGTGTGACTTTAGGCTTCACTCTAGTTCTATGTTCAGCTGAATTATTTTAAAGAATCCAACTGTTAGCAACGGTTTGATCTACTAGATGCTAAAATGAGCTAAAATACCATTTTTTTATCCTTAGACTAATTTTATTCCGTCTTATATTGCTGTCCAACAAATCAACACCACCCATATGACGGTTGTATTCTTGTTTAAGATATGGACAACTTACTTCTTTGGTTCTCTTTTCTTTCTTGTTATATCTCTTGGCAGTAGTTTTAGGAACATCGCCAGCGAAAGTCGATATAAATGTACCTAATTTGTTATCTTTCCACATTAAGCTACTTATTTCCACATCATTGCAAGTACCAACAAACTCTACACTAATTCCTCTTTCTTCATTTTTCATAGCATTTTCATCCGGAACCTAACAATTGGGAATCCTGTTCCTTTTGAGGGTTCCTTATCTGTGAATACCTTGTTTGGAAAGATACACAAGGAGAGGTATAAAAGAGTAATAATTGTCAAAATGCGTCACAAACTCTGCGACTCATATCCTTGGAATAATTCTAGCCAATCTTACCACATCATTTGCAATTGCTCCGAGATCAGGTTCAAAAGCAGGTCTCGTTTTTTGATCATTATTTTGTCCTATATATAACTCTATATGATACCATATCCAGAGCTACAGCATAAGACAAAAACTTTAAAACTCCATTTATGTGGCTTGCTTGGTAGGTAATGCTTCATGTAGTGCCTAGTTTTGGTAGAACAAATTTGCTCATCGACGGACAGCAAATTTCGTACCTTTGTCGTACCTGTTGACTGACAACACTTTTATTTTCTCAAAGTCAATTTCTTGTGATCAATATGCACTTGTATTGGGCAAATGAACAAAGGACATACATATTGTAATTCCAATAAACTGCTTTATGTCACTTCGTGTAATATACAGTGGTTTGTTAGGATTCTGCTTATGGCATATAAATTTGACTCCTCCACAATTTTGTCTAAAAGGCTATCTGTGAAGAATAAATTTAATTGTTCATAGGGACTTTCTAGTTGTAAGATATGATTTGGAACACTATGATTTCCTTTAAATTCCAGTTGCTGTTCGGATAAGTTCAAATTTTTTTTTCTTCATATAATGTCTAAAAATAAAAAAACATCTTGTATTTTTGATCACAAATTGATTGTAAAATAAGTATATCTTTGTCCTTGGAGTAAACCAGAGTTTCTGGAGGCTCCTCCTCTAGAGTGCTATTAACTATATTAGTGTCTACAGTATTCTCATTATTAGACTCATCATATGTACCAACTTGTTCATCAGATAAGGAATCTGGATCGACAATATCATCATCATCACCAAAACCATCTTCACTATCCGAAAACCTATCTTTTATATCGGGAAGTTCCTTGTCAGTCAGCGCTCTTTGATCTTTTCAACTCATGATGTTTTATCTAAAAGATAAAATCTACTAAATATGCATGATGATATTTGTAAACAACATCAACTAAAAACATTATGAGAAAAATATGCGCAGTACTGTATACCGCAAGAAATCATGTTTTTTACTTACATTATTAATAGCACGTAAAATATATTTACTCAAATTACTTTGGTAAACTAGCAAAAACAATCTGAAGCACGTGTCAGTGTCTAACCGTGTACACTACGTAACTAAGAAGACACGATACTGGTAACCGACACCATCTATTATTATTTAGTCTACTTACACTGATTAATACTGCATTGTTAGTGAATGTCATGCACAAAATGATTCCATCTTTATCTGCTATTAAAATAAATGTTTATTTTTAGTATGTTGGTTTTAAACAACAATGCAGCGAAGGGTTAACTAGTTCAGGACATATTATGCCATTTTATCTTTCATACTCGGACGGACTCAAATACTGTTATTTAATGCAGATTTCATCTAGGAAAGAGATGGAAGTAGCGCGGCGCTAGACCGGCGAATAATACCAAGGATAGTCCAACACGAATACTATATTCTCTGCTGGAAACCTCTTTTGACACAGAAATTTGCACATTTTTTTGCATCTTCAAATTGTATTGTGAAGTATAGCATCAGAAATCACACAAATACTTAACTGACCGTCAGATGAAACTAGATTATTAATTTTTTCGATATTGCCATTTTTTACTGTGCAAGTGTGACTTGAGCCTGAATTATTTTAAAGTGTTTCTCGGCCATATTGTAATCGATTATACAACTCAAAAACATACACGTCCACGAAAAACATTCATTGCCATACCATTATTTTAATATTATGAGTGTCAGAGCGAGTTTTCCAAGTTGGATGTGAAATGTAACAACAGTTTGTTGCTCTACTGTTAAACTTACAACTTTTTCGAGAGAAAGAGAAAAATATATAACAATTGAAGACTACAGGGGAAAAACGCTGTACGTCAATTTTTATCGATTTTTTGATGAATACATTTTTCGATACTTGGATACACGTAGTCCAATCTACAAATATCAAACAAAATAAAAGTGCAATAAGTCAAACGTTACAAACGAATGAAATAATGCTGTACAATGGAGAAGCGGTGCAAGTTAAGGTTAAACTAGGCAACGATGCTATAAGTCAGATTTTGGTGCTCAATGCGCATGTCCGTAGGGACAATTTACAATGAAAAATCACAGTCAGTGTTCAGCATTCATACAAGTTGTTTATTTTAGTATCATTATTATCATAATCACAGTTTGTTTTTAAACGTTTAGTAAGTTTAAACTATTTTTTATATATGGAATATGGAAAGTGAGGACAGTGAAATTGAAGAGGTTTTACAGTCGAGAACTACAAGAAAACGAAAAAGTTTTGGGCGAATACGTGATGTGGCTAAAGTCCTAAAACTGCAAACTCACGAAACAGGCGAGGAATGCCGTTGCAAACGTTATCAGTGTTTTGAAAATATAACGGTTGAACAAAGAAAGACAATTATTCGTAATTTTAATTCTATGCTGAATTGGGACGAGCAAAGTTTGTATTTGGGAGGTCTAATATTCATACTTCCTGTAACTCAAAAAAGGGCCAAGAAAAGATGAAGAGAATTGCAACGTAAGAGATGGCTCTGTTTATTGTAGAATTCGCCTTGCGGTAACTAATGATGAGGGGCATACATCACCTGCAAAAGTCGTTCAGATTTCTCAAAAAGCTTTTGCTGCTCTTCATGGCATATCCACGAGAAGATTGCAAACTATACAAAAATCCATAAAACATGATACAACCGCCAAGGACAATAGTGATAAACATGGCTCAAGACCCAATAAAATGTCTGAAGAAACTATGCAGTTACATTATTTTAAATCACATAAAATCATTCAAAGAGCGTATGAGTCACTACAGCCCAAAAAAATCTAGCAGGAAGTACCTTCCAGAGCAACTTAACATTAAAAAGATGTACAAAATGTTCCTTGAGAAACATCCCAATAGAGCAGTGTGTTATGAAGTATATAGAAAAACATTCAACACACGCTTTAATATCTCCTTTGGGTATCCCAAAACCGACACTTGCAGCATTTGTGATGCTTCCAAAATAAAAATAAGGGAATGTAAATGTGAAGAATGAATTAATAAACTTAAAACAGGGCAGAAACTTCACTTGCTGAAAGCACAGACATTTTACAAACGCAAAACAAAAGTTAAACTACGAGCAAGGACCTCAAAAAGTCATAGCCATGAACTATAATAAAAACGTTTCAATGCCCAACAGTGATTTGTTTGGAGGCCAAAATAAAAATTGGATGGTATTCCGGTTTTAACATTATTTAGTCCATAAAATAAACAGATTTGACTCTATTTTAGTGACCTTTCCTATAAGAGATCACTCCTACATGGAGACGGATAAAGATTTTGGTATCGTTAACCAAAAAAGTACAGCAGAAACCCCAGAAGATTGAGAAGCAGTGTTACGATTAGCTCGTCAAAAACCTGTGCTTTATAAAGTAGAAGTGGTTGATAACTACTTGGTGCGTAGCTGGGACACTTTTCTTGCAACTATGTATGCTACAAAAGCACCTTTTAAAACTAGACCAATAAGAGAATTAAGCATTTCAAAGCAACATTCCAGACTAATTTATTTCAGAAACACCTACAATGGAACAATGGTTTCTGCTGTCATTAAAAAAAAATTTCCTTCTCGATCCTATACTAAGTCACTGCTCATTCCAATGGCAAAATACAAAGATCTCAAAGTTTAAAAAAAATTGTTCAGAAAAAAGAAGGATGTATTTTGATCAGTTAAAAAAAAACATGACTTATTTTTTATCTTAAGAATTTTACAATGCTATTGATTCATTTAACAGATAATATTAATGTTTTTTGCTTTAGTTAAGTTAAACAAGTCTAGTTCGGTTTATTTTTTTCTTTCGTTGAATTAATATTATATTTTGTCAATTACAGCGTTTTTGCCTCTTTCCTCCAGACCTTTGGTTGTTTTTTTAGATTTCTCTTGTTACCTACTGTACTGTACATGACAATTTCAGGTTTATAATATCATACTCTGTATATATGAGTTTTCAAATACTCAATACAGCAGTGTATTAGCATGTTTATTTATGAATTATGAAGTTTTGAATCTAAAAATCGCGATTCCCAAAAATTTTAAAAATTGACTTACAACGTTTTTCCCCCGTAGTCTTCAATTATGTAGCTATACAATTTATTTACAGAAGTGTGTATTACTGCGTGCTTCTCTTGCAGCAGGCGTTAGTCTCGCTGTTCAATTGCCGTAGATTAACAAACAAAAGTCAATAAAGGCTTAATTAAATTGATTCATAGCTAAAACGATAATAGAAGATTGGGCAAGTAGCTTTTTTACTAATTTTTACTAACATCGTCTTTTTTATTTTTTCTTTCTTCACTCATCATCACCACTCACCAACCACGTCACGTTACAAACATAAAAAATCACCAAATCACTATAACAACATCGCCAACGTTCAACGAATCCTATGTGTGATTTTTTGTTTGTTCTGGAAGCGCCTCCGGAGTGGCAATGGTGCCACCAAGCGGCCAAGCGGTGCAGCAGGGACAGCTAGGGGGCCAGCTCCCTAGGAGGGGTAGCGCTTCCAAGGATCCCACCGCAGCGCCTAGACTCAAAAAGTGAGAAGGACATTAAACAAAATTTATTTTTTAATTTTTCCATTAGTGACGATTTTTTATTATTTTTTAGATAGCTTTTTATTTTTCGTCGGTAGAGTTGGTAGGACGAGGTTCGGGGATATTTATGAGATCGCTAGATACGACGAAGGACGTCACACCAAACAGGTGAAGCTTATGAACGTTTCCAAGAAAGTTAAGTTCATGTAACAGCACTTAGTATTATATTTTATTTTAAATTTCTTCTTAAATCTATTATAAACAAATTTGATCGTGGTGTCGTAGTGATTATACAGCATTTAACGAACAATTCTACCGTTCTTTTAAATATTTTTAAAAGATATACATACCTTTATACCAAAAAAGTAATACAAATAGTGGGATTATGTTAGTTAGTAGGTACATGTGTAAAATTTGCTCACTATTCTTGATTTTGTGATACCTTTAATCAATTAGTTAACCCTGCTTATATGTTTTATACAAGAAAAGCTTGATTGGTTAAAAGTTAAAAAGTTAAAAGTTAAAAAGCGTTAAACGACACTTTATTCTAATTCATTTTCATTACTGTATTCGTAAAGCATCTCATTATCATATACACTGAAGGTTGTACTGAAATAGAATATTAATAACAATGAATAAATTAAAAAACATACCAAAAAAGTTCTATGAAGATATCTTCTTCTTAGGGTGCCTGTCCGTTCCGAACGTTCGCGATCATTCAGCAGTTCTGCAGGAATTTCATCAAGTCCCGGTGTCTTTCCATCCTTCATTTGTATGACGGCTGCCGTTATTTCTTCTGGTAGGATTTCGGGACCTGAATTTTCTTCAATGGTGGTCTCTTGCATTGTTCTAAGGTCATGGAAAAGTTTCCCCAAGTATTCTTCCCATACTTTTTTTATCTTCTTTGGTTACGGCAAGATTGCCTTCATAATCTGTTATTTTTCCTCTGTTGCGTTTTCGAAACTTTTCAGCTATTTCCTTCACCTTTCGATGAACATTGAAGTTATCATAATTATCGACTCTGATACTCTTCTATTTCTTGACATTGTTCTGTTTTTTGTTTCTCTTTGGCTTCTCTTATTTTTCTTCTGACGATGGTATGTATTCTCTTATATTCTTGGAGATTTTCTTTGTTTTTTTTTTTCCTCTGATCCATAAGCGCAAGGATTTCATCGGTCATCCACGATTTCCATTTCTCTGTGTCTTTCTTCAGGTGTTGTTCTTTTATTTCCCTCACTGTTTCTTGTATGATGGTCAGACTTTCCTCTATAGTTTCTGCATTTTTGCATGTTAGCACCCTTGTATTCAGGTTTCCACTCACCTTCAATCGAACATTGGGATCTTTCAGTTTTCTAAAATCATACTTCTTCATCGACTTACTTATAACCTTCTTCATTCTGACTTTGAAATTACCTACAACTGGTACATGATCAGAATTTATGTCTGCCCCCGGATATGTTTTGACAGATGTACAGCTGTTCCTATACCTCTTATTTACTAGCATGTAATCAATCTGATTTCTTACAATCTTTCCCACAGTATCCTGTGGAGATTTCCAGATGTACAGTTTCCTTGGATGTAGCTTAAACCAGCTGTTCATTATTACTAATTGATTTGCTTCCGCAAAAGTCTCCAGTGTATCTCCCCGATCATTCCGGTTTCCTACACCAAATAGTCAAATGGCAGATGATGTTTTGCTGGCTCCAACTTTGGCGTTGAAATCACTCGTGACAATTGTTAGATCTTGCTTTTTTAACCTTTTCACGACTTGAATAATGTTATGGTATAGTTCTTCTATCTTTTGTTGTAAGTGCATACACTTGAATTATATTGATGTCGATTGGTCTTGCTTGTAGTTGTATCACTCTTGCTGAGATTAGAATGAAGTTGTCAACAGATTTTGCCACTTCTTTTGTCAATATAATGAAAATATGGTTGGGGTAAATGCCTGAATCAGATCATTAAATCTCTTACAAAAAAATAAAGTGAATATAAAATATGCCTGATGGACATTTATATGTTACTAGCAGTTTATCTATCTTAGTATGGTACTTGGAAACGTTTCTCTCGTGTCAGATTTTGGTAATCCATTGGTCTAATCAAATATATAAAGTATATTCAGTTTCAGTTCAGTTTCCTCAAAAAAGCTTGTACAATATACGGTATTATGTAAACCCTTGGATAAATAGTATTCAAATAAGACAAACTCTTAATTCCATGGAAGGTGCTTACAAAAAAGTAGTGCGAAGTTGAAGGTCTTCTCGTTTACATACTGTAAATATTTTTATATTTATTAATATTTTTATGTATAAAAATTTTAAACAATCATTTACTAATAATTTTTAGAAATGTTGCATATTAATCAACAAAATGCAGAATTTTGTTTTGACACCATGGAAATTCAAACTAAATTCATCTATCAATTCTAACTGGAATTTTTTTTGAAGTTCCTTCTCCTATCAGAGGTTGGAATTTTTTAGGAATTTATTTAGTTTTATTCTTTATAATTTTTTTTAAATATAAAACAGAATTTTATATTTAATAAATTCTTTATTAAATAACGCAGAATTTTATAAATTTAGAATACAGTATTTAGGTATTTATGCAGAATTTGTATTTTGATACATTATTTATCAGTCATTTAGAAAATATTTTTTGCAATTCTTGCAAATTTTGTGATATTTTATAAATTCGTCTATATATCTTTTATAAATTAATTCTGGTGATGCTTATTTTTTTGCATAATTTTAACAGTGTTATGGTGTTTTCAAAAATGACGTGAAAGTACAAAAAATGTCACGTGAAAGAAACTTTACATAAATACATAGCGTCTTATAAATATCCCCGAATCTGATGAACGATTACCGACTGAAAGGGAACACAGGTAAAGTTGATAGAAGTGATAAGGACCATGTTTATATGCAAATGTGATTTTGTTAAGTTTTTCCAACTCTTTTTGAGCTGTTTTCCTGCGCCTATGTTTATCTTTAAGTTAGAAAATTGTAATCATCTAAAAAGTGTATCTGCGATCGAGGTTTCCAAAATTTTGACTCGAATGAAGTTTAGAGAATGAAATTGATCCCAGATACATTTTTTGCTGCTTGTTAAAGATTTTCTCGTCGCGTCGATGATTTTTGCTTGCAGAGGATTCACTTGATGAAAGTAGATATCTGTTTACTATTGTAATATACATGTCTGTTAAATATTTCGTTATGATAACGTTTTTTATAACAATTGTATATTATAAAAGTATATATTTCCTGCTATGTGATAAATAGCTGAACTGAGAAGGTGATACTCAAAGAAAAGACAATAAAAGTGAATTTTTTGTTAATCGTTATCATACTATTCATCAAATTTGTAAGTTTTTATTTAAATATGTTTCACGAAACTTATCAATTCATCTCCAAATTGACGCAAAATCATATCAACAGATATTTTTAGTCTCACAAGTGCCGAAGAAATTATTTCTAAAACTATTAATTTTAATAATAATTGAAATCAATTTCTCAATAGCAAAAATTCAAATTCTGTTTTTGTGTAAATTTTTGAAAGGAAGAATTCATTTGCTCCGTATTATTATTTAATATAAGAGTAATTGTACAAAGCAAATTTTGATGAGACATTAAACTCTAATAATAAAATTCATGTCAATAATAATTTAATAAAAAATCGCTCAAATAAAGTATATTTCTGATACAAAACTTCAAAATTAAAAACCATTTTATCACACTTGCCCTTTTTTTGTATCCACAGGTAATGTGTGAAAAACTTATCAGTGTAATAATGCTGTAACGTCATTTAATTTGACACATTTGATCACATTTCTTGCTTCATCAATTTGTTTCAGTGCAGTCTCCACCAAATCAGTTGCATTTAGATCCGGATGATAAGGTGGCAGTGTTAATATAATCTATTAATAATTATTCTTGATATAGCAATGTCTGCTTTTCTAGATTGCGGTATTGGGAATTTAGTTTTCAAAGAGTATCCAATTTTACTTCAAAGAAATATTGAAATACTTGTCAACACTACAAGAATTATGTGTGGTTGGGATATTTGTACCATATATAGTGAAATAAATTACTAACAAGTAAACATAGAACATTGATACACTATGACATGGGTCACCAAATGCCGGACCGCGGTCCGCATCCGTAACGTGAGCTTGTTTTTTTGCGGACCGTGGTTAAATTCAAAATATAGTGTAAAATTATAATCAAATCTAAATATATAAATATCTTTACATTTTTAAAATTCTCAGTACTAATACTATATAGAAATACTCGTAATCTAAACAATATGCTTCGACTAAAGGGGTTTCCAAAGTTTCAAATAGTAGCTGCCTAAAAATAATCTTTTAGCAAACTAAAATAGGGAAGCTGTCAGCACAAAATGTTGTGCAACTGTTTTTCACTCAAGCCTAACGGTCTATGGACTAGCGAAGTAGCAGACTTTTTAAGAGTAACAAAGCTGCCCTTCAGTTGGAAATGATCGAATATCAGAAAGATTCCGCTTTAAAGGAGATTTATAAGCCTGCTTACTCGCTATAAATGTCAGAAACACTTGCCTAGGACAAATTTTAGATTAAATACGTGTGTGACAAAAAATATCCAGGATATTTGACAATTAAACTGTGTACTATGTTTGGCTCAACTTTGTGTTCGAAGCCGCTTTTTCAAAAATGAACTTTGTTGAAAATCGGTACTGGTCTCGATTGACAGATGAATACCTTGGCTCCCTAATGAGAATTAGTTGCACTAACCTCAATCCAAATTTCAGACAAGTTGTACAAAATAAAAAGTGCCATTTTCTCACTAATAGTCTAATTTTGTTGAGTTTTACATTTATTTTTAGACTTATTATAATCATTACTTTTGAATTTATTTAAACTAATGTACCCCTTTCAAAAACGAGTTGGCCTAGTTGCCTGGTTTCAACTACGAAACGAGGATGATCACCTGATGGGGGATTACACATGGACTCTCAAGGAATATAATTGGTGACCCCTGCACTATGAGACTCGAAGGCTCACAAGAAAGATGGACATAAAAAAGGCACCACTGTTTTTACAGTGGCAGACTGTTTTTACAGGTGGACAGACAAAATAACAAATAGTGCAGTTCTTCGAAGAATGAACAAAGAACGGGAGCTGTTGATCACCATCAAGAGAAGAAAATTGGAATATCTTGGTCATGTGATGAGAGGGAAAAAGTACAGATTGCTCCAGTTAATTATCCAAGGAAAGATTCAGGGCAAACGAAGCGTGGGGAGACGACGCGACGTAAATCTTGGCTGCGTAATTTAAAAGACTGGTTCCAGTGCACATCTAACCAATTATTTAGAGCAACAGCTTCAAAGATACGAATAGCAATGATGATTGCCAAACTTCGTAGCGGAGAGGGTACTTGAAGAAGAAGAAGAAGAATTAGAACTGTTTTTAAATATTTGAATCCCAAAAAAAAAACAGAAATAGTATATGCATAAGACACAGAGAAGTACTAAAAAGAAATGGATATCAAAATTATAACCACAGTAAACGAAATACAAATATCATAAAAATAAAAACACGGTAAGATTCATTCAGTTTCTTTTGAAACGGATTAACTCAGCGTTGAAAATAAAAAAAATGGAATCAAATGAGAAAATTTAGTTAAATAAGTACACAGATCACAAAGTTTATTGTTTATTTAATCTATTTCGATTTAAACATGTTTAAAATAGAGATTGCACAAGAATATTAATTAACATCAAATAATATGAATAATGAAATATGTAAATATATTGTTAAATACGCGTTCTTAACGTGAAAGCAACATCACTGGACTTGGCTTAGAGTAGTATAATGTATTCACAATAATTTAAATAATCTGTTAATCAAATTAAGCCCGGATGATGGATTTCGACACCGTCGAATTTTGAATAAATGGGGACCTACAAATTGGGGTTAAAAGCAGTGGTTTTTATTGAGATACAAAGAGAGGACTCCATATTATGAGAGAGCGGCGTCCAAACTGAGACAAAATGGGACTTCCAAACTAGGATGAAACCGGCCTCCAATCTAGGATGAAATGATCTCTGTCCTAGGATAAACTAGAATGCACTAGGACTAGAATTAGATGAGAAAATGTAAAAATAAAATATTCGAAGGAACAAAAGGTACAAAAATAAAGAAACAAAAGGTACAAAGATCTTACCGTAAAAGGGGTTGGAACACACGTAGAATCGTCGTTTCTAGGTAGTCGAAGTACTCAGAACTCTTCTAACAGGATCGGTAGGTGGGTTCTTTGACGGCATTTCGGCAAAACCTTTAAAAGGATTATTGCGATGTATTTGACTTTCAATATTTGCAAACAAATGTCATAACGTGCAAGTTTGTCAAAACAGATAGCTGGATGGTTCGTGGATAAATATTTAACTGTCGTAAACTGATAAAGCAAAGAATATTTTGTTAAGAATTACACTGCTCTGCTAGATGTTTTACAAAATTTAGTAAAATAAACAAAATTAGACAACATGTAACATATAGGCTTGTCGACACGTTATATCTTGACTGCGAAACCTACAGTTTCGTTTATACGTACATATTTACAAGAAGGAGTTAACATTGTACTGGATGTATTAACTCTACGTATGAGAGATGAAAATAAAAAAAAAGAATCTGCCGAAAAATATAAATGTCGATATAACCACTTCAGTCCACTGTGTTTAGTGCATAAACCAGTCAAACTACCATTCAGGTGCTGTTATATCAAGTGACTAAAAGTTTCCACGTGTATCCGGAAAAATAGTTTTTTTTAGAAATATTTCTGAAATTATCTCCTGAGTTTGCTTTATGTTACAAAATTCTAAAAGTCACAAAATTTCAAAAGTCCAAATAAACATTTTTTAAAACTTGTTATTACATATTTCATTTTCATACAAGCAAATTCTTTAGGTTGTTTCCTATGGGCTGTGAGAATTTCATAAAGATCAGAAAATTATTTAAACGGCCATAAAGGAAATACGTTTTCACTGGGTATGGTAACGCCTCAATAAATTAAATGACAGTGGAGTTGCGAATAATACAAAATTGTACTAAAATATCTTTAATTGTATTCTTTAAATCATGAATGTGTTGCTTGTGTGAGTCCATTTCAAATAGGTAAAGAAATAATAAATAAGACTTACTCACAATCAATTTAATTTAACTATCAGACGACCGGTTTCGCATTCTACAATATGCAAAGCATCCTCAGGTCTCGATACAAAGTTAAACAAATGCTGAAATAATAAAAACCCATATTAGGGTGTTGTCCAATAACGATAAACAAAGTAGATGTTGTAAATTACAATAATTATGCCAATATTACATGTCTGTGGTTTTATTTAGATGAGTAAGTTGGATAAAAGGTATAAAAATTTTAAAAGTTTAAGCAGACAAGGTAAGGCCCACAAATTGTTATAAAATAGTCTCTTCGATTGTAATAAATTAACAAATGAGCAAATAAATAAATAAAATAAACATTACTTACATGCCGGTACTCTATTAATTGATGGATGGTAGAACATGGTTGAAACTACTATATATTGTTGAATGACATATATATTGTTCATTTTCATTGTTTTTGTATTATAAATTGTTTCATCAACAATTTGTGGGCCTTACCTTGTCTGTTTAAACTTTTAAAATTTTTATACCTTTTATCCAACTTACCCATCTAAATAAAACCACAGACATGTAATATTGGCATAATTATTGTAATTTACAACATCTACTTTGTTTATCGTTATTGGACAACACCCTAATATGGGTTTTTATTATTTCAGCATTTGTTTAACTTTGTATCGAGACCTGAGGAAGCTTTGCATATTGTAGAAAGCGAAACCGGTCGTCAGATAGTTAAATTAAATTGATTGTGAGTAAGTCTTATTTGTTATTTCTTTAGCTATTTGTATTCTTTAACTTTGTAATCTATAAAAGCCAAAATGTATATATCAATGGTATCAACAACTTGAATAGGTAACAAACTTGATGAAAGTTTTCTGCAAGATTAACTTATTTTGATTCTTTTCTTTCGGTAACACGTTTCCCATTGAGCTACTTTTTCACAATTTTGTTTCAATAATTTTAACTAGCAATTATATTAATTTTGCTCATTTAGAAAGGAAAAAGCGAGCGCGTGCAATTCATATAAGAAAATTTAGATGTAAACGATACGTTTTCTCAAATAACTGAAGTGACTTCTGAACAGGGCAACGATGTATAAATATTGAGAAGAGAACGGAAGTTACATAATGTATATTTTTTCTGTTGTGGGGGAGGGATGTAGAAGTTTTCACTTTGCTACGTTATTAATGTTGTAAGTGAGAATATCTGGTGTTTATTTAATTTTTTTATCTATGTGCCTTTATTTTAATGTTTAAAGTAGCGCAATAAAATCTGTAGATTTATTATTACTCTTAATTTGAACTGAATATAAAATCTAAACAAGTTACTCAAATTATATACATACAATTTGTATGATCCCGTGGAAAGTGTTCGCACTTTGTTAATTGTTTTTTACATATACCATTTACATTAACATGTTTGTAATTTAAAGAAGATAATTATTAGACATACTTGTGAAAGAAAGTGGTATTAATATCACACTAGGGAGAACATTCTTGACGATCATCACCTTATTAAGTTCTTACCGAAAATGAAATTGGATTCTTCCTACATACCACAATCTCAGATACATATATATATATATATATATATATATATATATATATATATATATATATATATATATATATATATATATATATATATATATATATATATATATATATAATATCACGATATTTTTCTTCCTGGACGTCTTCCTCCGATTACGTGTCCTTGCATCACTAGAGTAAACAAGCTGTAGTTCTCCGGGAGTTACATTAAATGCACGAAATAAGTATGATATACAATAATGATCTGGTTTTAATTTTTTTTTCAATTTCTTTATCTTTCTTAATTCTAATAAACAAGGTTTTATTACTTATTCTGGTTAGCCAACCAATGCGGAATATTCTACTGTAATACCGCATCTCAGAAGCGTCGTGATTTTTTAAACTTAACATTTGTTGTGGTCCATGTTTCTGTGCCGTAAAGCAGCATGGCAAACACATAGAGGCAACGCCAACTATAAAGACATAGTGCAGAAACTGAAATTTGAAATTGCTTAGGTCGCCTCGCCTTAACATGAAATAATATCAATATTCAGTAGTGCTGCAATTGCGATTTGTGTTAAAATATTTGAGTAATTTTATTTTCAATTAATTTTTGTTGAAAATTAGGAATATTAGAATAGATACTTTGTTAACAATAAAACTGCCGAAGCAACAGATAAGAAGCTTTAATGCATTCAGTATTGATTCCAAGAGGCGGGATACGGGCAACAATACATTGACTTACAGGGTAGTTACAGTAGGAAAATCCTGGCTTATATAGAAAAACGTAAGCCTGTAAATCTAAGTATGTTAGTTACAGCGTGCAGGACTTGATGCTGATAGAAAAGGCATTCAGGCATCAAGCGTCCAAAAATCTTTTCTCGTTATAATAATGAAAAGAACTTAGCCATAAAAATGAAAAAAGGAATTACTGAAAAAGTTTTAGAAAACAAATTGGAACAATGAAGACACGTTTTTAAAGAAAAAGATAACTTAATAGAACGTATTTGGAATGTTTATTTAAAGATGGAGCTACTACTACCGAAATTGAAAAATACCTTTGTATTATTTTAATTTCATTTATTTCTTATCCAATACTGCTTATTTCCATTTCTGAATTTTACTTATTTGGCAATGTTCCTATATGCTGCTCTTTTACTTCTTTTTTGGTCCACCTGTCCTCTGTGTAATGATTTTCTTGAGAGTACTGTTTTCGCTTTTACTATTGGTAAAATACTTTTCAATAAAATTCTTAAATCAGGTAGGCACATGAGATTACGCCTGTTTATTAGTACGTAATTATTTCTCACTGTATTATATTTTGGTACTTTCCCTTTTTGAAAAACACGCTTTACAATTGCTTATTTAAAAATACATGTTGCTTTTATCAATACCTAGAACTAAATAAACCTTTTGTACAATCTAAACAGTTTGCCTGTTAAGCTAAAATGTATTACGAAGGTATTATTGTTTTTTTGTCCCATCAAATAGCGTTACTTTTATCTTAATGAATGTTTTGAATATTTTTTATATCTTTACTAAATATTCAAAACTCATTGAAAAGTTAAAAAATCAACTTATTAAACCATGCGCGCGACTACACTAATTAGTGTATTCCCACTTGGCTTTACCTCTACCATTTCAGTATTTTGTATCAATATAATTAGGAAAAATAATATTTTCAGAAAAAAATCTTGAGAATCATTGGGGAAGCACAGTAAATATAGAGTGAATGAGCAGCTCCAGAACAGTTATCATTGTCACTCTTTCCTGTGTTTCATGTGTGAACTGTATGTATGAATTATTAAACCATTTCTGAAGTGAAATATTTGTTTTTGTTTACCAAGTGGTAATGAATTCCAATCATAAACTAGTTCCAGTGATACGTCGTAATTTTGGCTTCAAATGGATGTCAAATTCATTATGTTAATATAAAAAAAAGTCCACATAACACCGAGGTTGGCTCAACACCAATCAAATGAGTACCGTAGAATAAATAGTTAATATATAAAGCCATTAGTATGTTAAATACCGCCGTTAGAATAAGCACTTTAAACCTGCAAAGGTGCAGTTACCTACCTTGTATATTGTAAGGTCCGCCAATATTAAACTAACATCTTAACATGTCTTCAAAATTTGTAAATTAACCTGAGCTGTTAAAGCAACAGTTTTTATATTTTATATTCACCAGATATAAGCTATTTATAACATAACCCAAATATGTGATTTCTCGACAACATAGCAAAGTGAAAGCCATGGGAAATAAAAAAAAACTACTACTAAACATTTGCGAGGTATTCAGAAAAATACCAAAATTTCGAATTATGGACATCTCGCAGTATTTGCAAAAAGAAAACCACGAAAATTGACGAACTAAATGTACATATCTAGACTGACTTTGTGTATTTTGTTGTATAATAGAAAAAATGATAATGTTCTTTT